GTTTTAGTTACACTTTATGAACCTTTTAAAAATTGACTTCAAGTCTGAAGAGGTGCTTAGTCCAGCATTCCGCTGTATTCTCAACCCTAGGGTTCATTTCCAGGTGATAGATAAAATTGCAAATTCTTTAGGCAAAGAATCCTTATAGACAAAGCAGTTCACCATCTGTTCACATGCGACAAAAAGCGAAATGTTATTACACTTGGTCAGTCTTAAAGGCACACTGTAGTTAGGGAACTTATGTGCTTCTGTCCAGGCAGGAACTAAGGTCATGCTTGGTTGTCAAAGGGCTTCTCATCACTATCAACATTTAGAATAACGGAGGTTAAGCAGAGAGGCAGAACCATACGATGGTCCCTAACCGAGATACTGAACACGTTTAGCGATAGTTTTGTCCGCTGTGCAGTCTCGTGACAGGACGGATGATACAAAGCACTGGCGAATTATTCTTTCAGCAGCCAACAGTGCTGATTAATCGCTTCCCGCCATAAAACCAATGTTGTGCGAGCCACGTGCATCTTCTGCTTCCGGTAGCTGAGCTCTAAGCTTTTTCCTTATTTGTTTCGTATATCACACGTCGGAGACGGCGAACTTCGCGTAATTAATTATAGGAGCGTGTTTACGATTTGTATTTACACTTCACTCTTCATCTGTGACATTCTTGAACCGTTCAAACAGTCGGATGGTTGTCTTCCTTCTCGTTGTCTTCCTTGTGAAACGGCGTCGTAACGTTTTTTTCTGCTGTTTTCGCCCAGTGCTTTTGAAATTAGTATCATCCAACGTGGAGACGCGCATTTTTCGCATGCCAGTGAAGTGGGTCACACAAATAGGCTACCACGAAAGTTTACACAGCTCGAAACGTACGTAGATGTCCCCTGACAACGTTTCGTGGTGACTAGAAATACTATACTTGAAGCAGGTGTACACCTCGAGTGTGATTTGAAGTGGGGTGTAAAGTGAAAAATTGTGTCCGGTATTTTTCACATTTTGATGATGTACGGTTAAAACCGATTAATTCAAAGCTTCGTTTTAGTTCCAGTTGTTTTTCAAATTTAAGACCGAATAAAAATTTGTTAACTAAATTGTCTGCATAATTCAAAAGCCTAAATAGTCTGTAATTCGAAAAAAATATTTGGCCCCTGTATGTAACATTATGTGCAGTAGGATAATCTCCAAGAAGTCGGGTCGAACCCTGGCTGTGCCTGGTTGGACGAAGAATGTCTGTCTGAACCTTATATTCCATTGAGTAAGAAAATTAGCTTCCCAACTTCTACTTCCACTGCATCAACGTCGGTCGGGTGGGGACAACGAATTCTTAAGATGATGCACAGCTGAACCACTAGGCTATGGTGGGATCGACTATGCTAATAAAGCTAGAAAAAGTGTATATAAAGTGATATCATGTTTTAAAAATAGTAAGGATTTTCCTGAAATACTAGATCTATAGCATATCAAAGTAATGACAATGAGATGAATATAAAGCATTAATTTGGGATGGTGGGAGGGTCGCTTATTTTTTTCAAGTTGAAGTACTGCGAAAGGAGCCTACGAACAAATATAAAAAAGTAAATTAGGCAGGGTGCAAAATTCCGCCTCTTGCGGCTTCCGGCAATCGACCAATCGTGAGTCGAGGAATCGAGACTGGCCTGACTTCAGACAGTGCGTCTCAGCTAACGTTGCTTTTTTATTGCTTCCTCATTGTGGTCGTTGAATCAGTCGTCGTTTGTCGCTTCGATTAATGGAATCGATCACGACCGGAAGGCAGTTCTTAACCATGCGTAAGATTCAGACAGTTCTTCATCGATTGATCGGCTTGCACGAAACTCTTGGCTTAACTATGGTTTGTTAGTACTCGACAGTGAAGGAAAAACATTTTATGTTTATCGGGAAAAGAACGCATAAGTGAAGATGGTAGTGATGGAAGTCTGCCTGCCCTCAGAAGGTTATGGGCTGCTTTGATTTGGTCGACTATGCCAATAACTAAGAAGTTTTGGTCGTCATCAAGAGAGCTACTTGATATTTTTTTAAATATTTCGATTGTATATTTTTTGTGCTTTATACGCATGACTGTTTCGTAAAGTATATAATGTAAAGTTGCAATATACTGACACTTTTCGATAATCGATTAGCCATGCCATTGGCCAAGGTAGAGATGGGAAAACGTTTCACCCTAAGCGCGCACCTAATCTGAGAATAAATAATGATGTAATTGTTTTTTGTATCTTTTTTTGTTTTCGTTGACAAAGAAAATTTCGACCCGTAAAGGGCTAGATGAGTGTCGAATTGTGACTGCCGA